AGGATTCCAAGCAACCCAAATTCTACCATTAGGGCAGCACACATAGCTATGAATTACATCTCATCCCCCAAATGTCAAGGACTTAGTAACCTCAAAATTTTGTTCACAAACTCTAGTTTCCAAAATACAACAAATTGCAATTTTATTGGAAGAGACTAGATGTCTAACCTCTTCTTGTTTCAAAGGGGAATTAAGAGCCCTTACAATCGACGAAGCAAGCGTAATCATGGGACGGATGGGCGTTAGGAGCTTCTCTCGCTTTCCTGGCCAATTTCCTCCTTTGGCTTTTAGAAAGACTTCTGTTTCCGTCCTTAAGACCTTCCTTTTCGTCGACTCGAATCAAATTTCTGAATCTCACAATAGCCGGTGAAGTAGACCCTATTTCACACCCCTCATGGTTTTCAACCAAGGGTCCCCTGGGTGGTGTTATTTCTCCTCTATTGTCACCAGCACCCAAAACATTCAACCTCTTGCTTACTTCCAATCCATTCTCTTCTATATTAGGAACACTCACCCCACATTCATTCCCCTTAACACACTTACCCCTATCATCACACACAACTCGATTATAAACCTTGTTAAGATCAGCCCCGCTAGGAACATTAACCCCACTCATTTCACCCTTATCTTTTCAAACCTACCTTCAACATTCTCATTACCCTCTTCTCCACCCACTTCCCCATTATCCACCCGATTGCCCAAACTAAGAACCCCAAATTGACTAGTGGATGGTGTTGTTTTACTTTTGTGGCTAGAGCTCTCGCCCACATTCTCTCCTTGTACAACAACGTCCTTTGACACATTCTCCTTCCTCTTAGTCACCATTCGCCATTCTTGAGTTAGAGTCAAGTTCTTGCTCTCGGCACTTTCCTTCTCAATTCTAGGGCCAAGTGACATTCCTTCAAATTGTGCCCAAAAGTTCTACACCAAGGGCAGGCCCTCGGTTTCCAAGAATATTCCACCCTTATGTTCACACAATCACCATTTGGGAGGCCCAGTTCCACTGAATTCAGGAATGAAGAAGATGTGTCAATTTCAACACAAACTCTTGCATACTCCAATCTATCCCCGTCATCCGTAATGTTATCCATGTAGAGAGGTTTTCCAATAGCGCTCGTAACATAGGTCAACCCTTTAGTAGTCGAAAACTCCAATGGCATTCCACTAAATTAGACCTAAATCGGCACACTACTAATGCCTTCACTTGCCATTTTTAAATTCGGACGTCATTTTTTGAGGAAAAGGGGTTGCCCCCCAATATGCCAAGGGTCCCCTTCCAAGGCCTCATTATCAAATTTCAAAATAAAGCCCCCAACCCCATTTGAGACCACACCAACCTTGCTGAAGCTCTTCCAATTCCTGTCGATAAAACCCTTCACAAGAGAGAATGACAATCTTCTACCAAGGAAGAAACCCACGAGAAAATTTCCCCATTTACCCTTCCCCAAATCAGCAACCTCTTTGGGAGATATAACTCTTATGCTTTTCCCATCATCAAGGATTTCTGGTGTAAAATATTCCATTGGAGCAGTTGATTTCGAAACAAAATTTTTTCTCCAAGATGCTATACCAACTGGCTTTAATTTCCCATTCACATTTTCCCCAATAGTCCCACCTCCACTCACCACTTTCTCGTCATGAATCATAATTGGAGGCAACTTTGAATCAACTAGCACATTCCCATCACACATTTCCACACCAACCTTATCAATCGCTTTTCCACCCACAACTTGCTGCTCGTTAATCACTCCACTGCAACTCTTTGCCTCACTTGTATTAAGAGAATTTTAAAGAAAAAAACCACCGGGAGGTAAACTACGGCTTTGGGAAGGTTTGGGAAGTGGAGGGAAAACATTGATTTTTTGGGATTTTGGTGACGTGGCATCTTGGGTGACGTGGCATCTTGGGTGACGTGGCATGATTAGTCAGCATGAGTTTGATGAGGTAGAGGGGAGAGATGGATGATTAGTTGGTGAGTTGTCATAGTTTAAAGTCTAAGAGAAAAGAAATAAGGAAATCAATGGAGGACCAATGAAAAACGAGTGAGGTGGCAAAAACTTATGAAACAACCTTTTAACCAGTCCAAACAAAATGTGGATAAGAAAAAAATCTCAAAAATCCAAATGAGCTAATGGGAGAGAGGGTACCAATGGATAGCAATTGGAGGGATTTCTTTTTTCTTTTTTTTTTTTTTTTTTTTTTTTTTTTTTTTTATATTTTTTTTTTTTTTTGGGTAAGTAAGCTTTTATTGAAAGGGGAAAGAATGTACAAAAAGCTTAAAAGTTGGCCAACCTACCTCAGGACAAGCCTTGGGTTAGGAGCAAGGGAATAATACTATCTAAGTCTACCCCTAATCTTCTCTTTTTCCCATTCCACTTGTCAAAGGATTGGAACCAAGCAGAGATTAAAGAATACAATGAATCTCACCTACCACAGGACATGCCCTGGCTTAGGTTCAAAAGTATCAGAATACAAAACCCATACGCATAAGCATTAACAAGAAGAATTCCATAAACATGGACATTAACAAGGTTGGGCCCGTTAATGACACAAAGACAAAGCACTAGATCAACACCCCAAGTCTTCCAATTGCCATAGTAGCCTCTTCTAGCATAATCACCCGCCGGGATGTCATATAACCAAATCCTAATGGAGATCGAGGTGCTGACCAAGTTGATGTTCCCAAATACTCTCAAGATCCTTTGCAAGGAATTGGCAGTCCAATGACTAGGGCAAAGACAAAGAGGATGAAAGAGGCTTTGCAAGACTTGATCATGGAAGTCAATACAAAGAGGCTGTACTAGAGGACTCTAAGACTAAATTCGAAGATTTCAAAGCTTCACCAAGGATGGTCTATTATCATTTTATGCAAGGGGTAGATTTGGAAGATCAAGTTGGATGTAAGGATTAATTTGGGAATTAATTTTTGTTTATTTAATCTTGGGCTTTTTTTTTTATGTTTCAATTATCATTAGATTCTTTAGTCTTTTATTTATTTAAGGTTTATTTAGGCCCAATTCACTTGTACTTAGGCCCAACCCCTTTTTCAATTAAATAGGGTTTTCTTTTAGGGTTTATTGCGTATAAAAAGGGCCAGCCATGTTATTTTTTGGGAATAGATTATTATTAATTGAAGTTTATTTCAGAAAGCTATTCGTTTTGCCTTCTTGTGTTTTTGATTGAATGCTTCAACCTTTGTGGCGTCTCAAGATTAGGGTTGTAAGGACTTAGTTTCATTAGGGTTATAATTCGATCATCCTCAACACGTTCCTAGAAAAACAACTTGTTTGGTATCAAAGCTTTGGTTGCTGGAAACAGGTTATTTATCTCCAACACTCTTTGTTTGCGTTCTTGGTTCAAAAAAAAAAAAAAAAAATTTGAATTCGTCTTTTCATAGTTCTTCTGCGTAAAAAAAGAAGGGCAGCAAAAAAAAAAAAAAAAAAAAAAAAAAAAAAAAAAAAAAAAAAAAAAAAAAAAAAAAGAACGAAGTGGCAATTTCGAGTTCTTAAGTTTCCCATTCTTGTTCTCTTTGCTAAGTATCCTATTTTTGTGGAATTAAGTTTCCAATTCTTTTTTTTCTTGCTTGAGTTTCTTGTTCTTGTTGAATTAGTTTCCTTTATTTTGTTCTAGTTTCCTCTTTATTTTGTTCTAGTTTCCCTTTATTTTTGTTCTAGTGATTGTTTCAAGCATATACAAGGTTCTTTTGTGTCTTTTGCCTTCTTAATCATTTAACGTCAATTCCAGTGATTTCTTTCACGTCTTTTGCTTCCTTTTAGAGTTTTCTTATTTTTCTTGGTTCTTTAGAGTCATCTTGGGTCGTTCTTTCTGTTCACCGTTTGCCTCAACTAAGTTTTTAAAGTTCTGATTTTTGAGATTGTCACCATCTAACCAGTTGCTTCTTGAGATTTGTTGAATACTTTGATTATGTTAAGAACATAAAGAAAAAGCCAAAATAGTGTGAAATACGAGTGATAACAATTTGATTTAAGTGCAAACATGTGAGGGAGTGTGTGAGGAACAACACCTTTTATTTTATTTAATTTTACAGGTTGAAACCATGAGTAAGGAAGGAGGAGAACCACAAGAGGTCGACATGAAATTCTTCATCAAGGCTTTTAATGACTAATTAAAATTGCTGAATGTGAGATTGAATGATTTGGAGCCCTCTTTCAGTTCTAAATCACATAGAAGACATGAGTTCGACAAAAAAGACGAAGCTAATTCTGAAATGGAGAGAACAAGTTATAAATGGGCCAAGAAGGTTGACTCTAAAGGAGATAACAGTATAGGCAGTATAAAGATGGCAATTCTGACTTTTTAAGGAAAGAAAGATCCTGAGCTATACTTGGAGTGGCAAAGAAAGGTTGAGTACGTATTTGATAGTCATAATTACTCCAAGGAGAAGAAAGTAAACCTAGCAACCATGGAGTTTATAGATTATGCAGGTATATGATGGGGTTAATTGGTGATCAATAGGCGCTGGAATGGTGAGAGGTCTATTCGATCATGGGAAAAGATGAAGTTGGTGATACGCAAGAGATTTATACCGAGCCATTACTATAGAGATTTGTATAGGAAGTTGCAAGGGCTGGTTCAAGGTTCCATGAGTGTAGAGGATTATTATAAGGAGATGGAAATCGCCATGATTAGAGCAAAGATAGAGGAAGACAAAGAAGCAACCATAGCTAGATTCATTGCTGGATTGAACAAGGAGATTGCTGACGTCGTTGAGTTGCAACATTACATAGAGATGGACGAGCTACTGTACAAATCACGTCTAAGAGGTTTAGATCTGGTTCGTCCTCTAGCTCTCCGTGGAGATCAAATTGGAAGGACAACAAAGCTGCCTTTAGGGCAAAAGAAGAAGCAAAGTCAAAGAATTCAATTGCTATTCCTAAAGTAAACCCGAAACTGAAACTCTTACTAAGTCACGTGATATTAAGTGTTTTAGGCACCAATGGTTCGGACATATTGCTTCCGAATGCCCAAACAAAAAAGTTATGGTTGTATGGGCAAATGGAGAAGTGGAAAGTGCTAGCTCAAGTGACGATGAGATGCCACCATTGGAGGATTTTTCTGATGTTGAAGTGGAAGAACCTATGTGTGGTGATTTACTTGTTACAAGGAGGGCTCTGAGTATACAGCCTAAGGATGAAGGAGATAAGGAGCAATGCGAGCATATTTTTCACACAAGATGCCACGTGAAGGATAAGGTATGTACGTTGATTATTGATAGTGGGAGTTGTACTAATGTTGCTAGTACTTTGGTAGAAAAGTTGAATTTGAAGTGGGAGAAACACCCTAAACTGTACAAGCTACAATGGCTGAATGAATATGGAGAAGTGAAGGTAAACAAGCAAGTTCGGGTTCCTTTTTCAATTGGCAAATATGAGGATGAGGTTCTTTGTGATGTGGCACCGATGTATGCTGGTCATATATTGTTTGGCTGACCGTGGCAGTTTGATAGGAGAGTGTTGCATGATGGATACAAAATCGTTATTCTTTTGTAATGAACAATCAAAAAGTTGTACTAGGCTGGTCGCCCTTGATAGGAGAGTGAATGGCCGTTTGTAGGCTTGTTTCCTTTGATTCCTATTTTGGGGCATGTCCCAAAATAGGCTGGTTGCCCTTTATTAGGCCTTTGTACAGTCTTTTTATTATTATTATTATTATTATTATAATTACTTACTTAAAAAAAAAAAAAAAAAAAAGTTGTACTAGCCCCTCTCAAACCTTTGCAAGCTTATGAGGACCAGATTAGGATAGCAAGAAAGTGCAAAATGAGAGAGAAACAAAAGTGTTAGTAAGAGGAAAATAAAAAGAGAGCAAGTGAGGTCGAGAGGAAAAATGGAGAGAAAAGTGAGTAAAAAGAAGAGAAAAATAAAAGAATGAGTGTACACTCTGAAAAACATGAGGTTAAGAGTGTAATGATGGCGAGGCAAAAAGTACTTGTACTTATGTACAAAGATGCTTATTTTTCTACTAACGACCTTAACTCATCTTTGCCTAGTGTTATCATGTCTTTATTGTAGGAATTTGAGGACCTATTTCTTGAGGAAATTCCCCATGGATTACCTCCTTTAAGAGGAGTTGAGCATCAAATAGACTTCATACCTAGTTCTGCCATACCAAATTGACCTGCTTATAGAGCTAATCCCGAGGAAACGAAGGAGAAAAAAAGGCAAGTAGATGAGATGTTGCAAAAGGGATTTGTAAGGGAGAGTCTCAGCCCATGTTCGGCTCCTGTCCTCTTAGTCCTAAAGAAAGATGGAATGTGGCGCATCTGTGTGGATTGCCGAGCTATTAACAAGATAACGGTGAAGTATAGACAACCTATCCCCAGATTGGATGATATGCTTGATGAATTGCATGGCTCTCAATTCTTTTCTAAAATTGATTTAAAGAATGGCTATTATCATATTCGAATGAAAGAGGAAGATGAATGGAAAACTGCATTTAAAACTAAATATGGATTGTATGTGGTTAGTAATGCCTTTCGATTTAATTAATGCACCTAGTATATTCATGAGGTTAATGAACCATGTCTTGCATGCTTTCATGGAAAATTTGTGATAGTTTACTTTGATGATATTTTAGTTTATAGCATAAATTTGGATGAACATGTGAAACTTGTGCATGTTGTGTTTGGTGTGTTGAGGGAGCACCAATTGTATGCTAATCCTAAGAAGTGCACGTTTTGCATGGAATCTGTTGTGTTTCTTGGATTTGTTGTTTGTTCACAGGGCATTAGTGTTGATGAAGAAAAGGTAAAGGCAATAAGGGACTGGCCTACACCTAAGAATACAAACAGGGTGAGAAGTTTCCATGGTTTAGAAAGTTTTTATCGAAGGTTTGTTAGAGATTTTAGTTCTATTGCTGCACCTTTGAATAAACTTGTTAAAAAGAATATATTTTTTTTTAAGTGGGATGATGTGCATGACCGGGCTTTCAAAACTTTGAAAGATAAGCCAACTAATGCACCTTTGTTGTGTTTGCCTAACTTTGATAAAGCTTTTGAAATAGAATGTGTTGTATCCGAGATTGGAATAGGAGCTGTTTTGATGCAGGATTCCAAACCAATTGCTTATTTTAGTGAAAAGCTAAGTGGGGTAGCATTGAATTATCCTACTTATGACAAGGAGCTTTATGCATTAGTGAGAACTCTTCAAACATGGCAGCATTACTTGTGGCTGAGGGAATTCATCATTCATTTTGATCATGAGAGCTTGAAGTTCTTGAAGACCCAAGGTAAGCTTAATGAAAGACATGCTAAGTGGTTGGAGTTCATAGAGACGTTTCCTTATGTAATCAAATACAAGCATGGCAAGGAAAATGTTGTGGCTGATGCATTATCTAGGAGGTACGTATTACTTACTTCATTGCAAACTAAATTACTTGGTTTTGAATTGCTTAAGGATTTGTATGCCAATGATTCTGATTTCAGCCAAGTATGGAATGCATGTGATAAGTGTGCGTTTGGTGATTTTTATAGGCATGAAGGATTTCTATTCAAGAAAGATAAATTATGTGTGCCTATTTGTTCTGTTCGTGAGTTGCTTGTTAGGGAAAGTCATGGAGGAGGTTTGATGGGTCACTTTGGTGTTCTAAAGACTTTAGATACATTATGTGAGCATTTTTATTGGCCTAATATGAAGCATGATGTGCAATCTGCTTGTGATGCATTACATGTAGGCAAGAAAAATCTAAAGTTAGACCGTATGGCTTGTATACCCCTTTACTTGTACCTAATCAACCTTGGATTGATATATTTATGGATTTTGTTTTAGGATTACCAAGAACTCAAAGTGGTAAAGATAGCATATTTTGTGTTGATAGGTTTAGTAAAACGGCTCATTTTATTGCATGTTCTAAAACAAACGACGCAACACATATTGCTGATTTGTTCTTTAAAGAAGTGGTTTATTTGCATGGGTTGCCTAAGACAATTGTTAGTGAAAGAGGTGTTAAGTTCCTAAGTCATTTTTGACACACTTTATGGAATAAATTAGGAACCAAACTGTTATTTTCTACTGTTGCACATCCTCAAACGGATGGTCAAGCTGAAGTAGTTAATAGGACATTCTCTACTTTTTTGCGTGCTATCATTCAAAAGAACTTCAGGTAGTGGGAGAAGTGTTTGCCACATATTGAGTTTGCATATAATGGGACTGTTCATTCTACTTCTTCATTTTCTCCTTTTGAAATTGTTTATGGCTTTAATGCTTTAACACATGTGGATATTTTACCTTTGCCTACTAATGAGCATGCTAATCTTGATGGTAAGAAAAAGACAGATTTTGTGAAGGATTTACATGTCAGAGTTCGAGCCAACACTGAAAGGAAGAATGAGCAATATGCTAAGCAAGCCAATAAGGGGCGTTTGAAGGTTGTCTGGCACATGCGTAAGGAGAGGTTTCCTACACAATGGAAATCAAAATTGTAGCCTCGAGGAGATGGACCTTTTCACGTCTTGGAGCATATCAATGATAATGCCTACAAGCTAGATTTGACAAGCGACTATGGTAATGTTAGTGCAACTTTTAATGTTGCTTATTTATCTTTGTTTGATGTAGGAGATTTGAGGACGAATCCTTTCTAAGAGGAGGGGAATAATGGAGATCGACGTGCTGACCAAGTTGATGTTCCCAAATATTCTCAAGATCCTTTGCAAGGTATTGGCGGTCCAATGACTAGGGCAAAGACAAAGAGGATGAAAGAGGCTTTGCAAGGCTTGATCACGTAAGTGCAATACAAAGAGGCTGTACTAGAAGACTGTAAGACTAAATTCGAAGATTTCAAAGCTTCACCAAGGATGGTCTATTATCTTTTCATGCAAGGGGTAGATTCGGAACATCAAGTTGGATGCAAGGATTAATTTAGGGTTTAATTTTCGTTTATTTAATCTTCGAATTTTTTTTTTTTTTAATGTTTTAATTATCATTAGATTCTTTAGTCTTTTATTTATTTAAGGTTCATTTAGGCCTAATTCACTTGTACTTAGGCCTAACCTGTTTTTCAATTAGCTAAGGTTCTCTTTTAGGGTTTTTTTCGCTTATAAAAAGGGGTAGCCATGTTATTTTCTCGGAACAGATTATTATCAATTGAAGTTTATTTCAGAAAGCTATTTGCTTTGCCTTCTTGTGTTCTTGATTGAATACTTGAATCTCGACTTATCAAAAGGAGTGATCAAACTTTATGGCGTCTCAAGATTAGGGTTTTAAGGACTTAGTTTCCTTAGGGTTCTAATTCGATCATCCTAAACACATTCCTAGCAAAACAACTTGTTCCTATTCCATAAAATCCCCTTACACAACAAAAACCCATCACATAACAACAAACCATATAATTAGCTCCCATGGGATGTTTAAAAATAGACATGGAGAGATCCCATTTCTCGGCAAGTCTTCTATTGTAGGTATTCTTTATGATCTTCCTGAGGTCCATAGCTCTCTCGCTCACAATATTCTTGATGGAGTTGTAGAGAGTATGTGCATCCTTGCATTCCCCACCAAAAATTCGGCTATTCCTCTCTCTCCAAATAGAGTAAACGGTGGCTTCCAAACTTAACTTCCCTATAGAGTACTTTAGCTTATTCTTCCTCTACATACTAGCTATGTGTTCAATATAATCGTTCTAAGCCCAGGTGATGTACCCAAGAGAAGAGAGCTCAAGGATTCGGTTCCAAATCCTTTGGGTAAAAGAACAAGCAAAAAAAGGGATGATCGATCGTTTCTTGCCCATGATTACAAACATACCACACATTTCTAGAAGCTATTCCATACCTCATCAATTTATCCCTGGTTTGAAGCAAATCCTTACATGTCATCCACGTGATCATGGAGTGTCGATTTTATAGAGAACCATAGAAGGTGATGCCACTCCACTTGGTTTCAGTTTTAGTGCACATGATTAACTTCACTCGGATGCATTAGGCTTCTGGTGGAGTAGGAAAGAGTTGGTTTGCTATGAACGTGCTAAGGATGATCGAATTAGAGCCCCAAGGAAACTAAGTCTTTAAAACCCTAATCTTGAGATGCCACAAAGGTTGATCACTCCCTTTGATAAGTCGAGATTCAAGCATTCAATTAAGAACACAAGAAGGCAAAGCAAATAGTTTTCTGAAATAAACTTCAATTGATAATAATCAAGAACACATGGCTGCCCCGTATCATTCCTTTGCTCCTAACCCAAGGCTTGTCCTGAGGTAGGTTTGTCAACTTTAAGGCCTTTTGTACATTCTTTCCCCTTTATATAAAAGCTTACTTACCCAAAAAAAAAAAAAAAAAAATCCTCCAATTGCTATCCATTGGTACCTTCCTCTCCCATTGGCTTATTTTTATTTTTGAGTTTTTTTTTCTTATCCACATTCTGTTTGGATTGGTTAAAAGGCTGTTTCATAAGTTTTTGCCACCTCACTCGTTTTTCATTGGTCCTCCATTGATTTCCTTATCTCTTATCTCTTTGACATCAAACTATGACAACTCACTAACCAATCATCCATCTCTCCTCTCCACCTCTTCAAAATCAAGCTGACACATCATGCCACGTCACCCAAGATGCCACATCAACCTGCCACGTCTAGGGGTGGGATAAATAATCTGAAAACCGAACTGAATTGGTAACCGAACCAAAACCGAAACAAAAATTAGGTTTTTTTACAAACCGGTTCGGTTTTCGGTTAACCAAAAACCAGTTTTTAAATCGGTTTCACCCTAAATATAAAAACAAATTTTTTTTTTTACTCCTTAGTCCTCACTTTATTTCTCTTCAGCCTTCACAGTTCGTCTTTCTCCTCCTCCAAATCTGAAAATTGGAATCTCTACACTTCATCTGTTTGTCACTTCCAAGGTTCTAGATTCCAGTTCTGTAGTTCCAGTCTTCCACACCGTGAGCTACTCCATCCACAGGCCACACCGTGAGCTACTGAGCAGAGCTGACTCCATCCACTGTCCAGTCACTGTGAGCTACTCCAATCCACACCATGAGCTACGTTCGTCATTCGCCAGCACCCAGCACTCTAGTAGACTCCACTCTCTAGTCAGGCAGTCATGCCATTGTCCCACCGTGAGTAGACTCTTCTCTCAAAGCTCCGATCTAGCAATCTTCACATTCACAGTCCATAGATCACTCTCCAGTCAAGCCACTGTGAGCAGACTCTTGATTAGAACTTTGTTTGTTTGTTTTGTTATTTACATGAGATACCTTTATGTATTCTGACTTATTTTATGGCTAATGATTGATTTGTCTTGTTAATTTTGATACCCAGAAGCCCTTTTTTCGTGGGTTTCTTGTATTTAAATTTAATGATTGAGTAGTTGCTTAGACATAGCAAGGTGGGTGCTTTGTGATTAGAGTATATTGTATTATTGTTTTTATGGATTCATGCGTGTTGAGGGACGTCCGGTTTATGTAATGTATGTTGATGTTCACCTGAAATTGGTTTTTCAATATACAGTTCTTGGCTTTCTTGATTTATAGATATTAAACGGGTTGAGCCATAAATATCTTGGCTAAGTTGTAAATTTGTGATGAATTTCAAATTGGGCTTAACCTAATATGGGATTGTTGGTATTATATATATATATTTTTTTGTTAAGTAAGTAATTATATTAAAAAAAAAAAAGAGAAGAATGTACAAAGGCCTGATAAAGGGCGACCAGCCTATTTTGGGACATGCCCCAAAATAGGAATCAAAGGAAACAAGCCTACAAACGGCCATTCATTCTTGGGGTTAATCTTAAACCACAAAAACCAATAAGAAAGCAAAGAGAACAACAACAATTCCACCTACCATAGGACACCTCCCTAGGTTAGGATCATTAAAAGAGAAACACAACCAAACAAAAACCATTCTGCGTAACGCTCTGTAATCCAGTCTTCAAACAGTGTTGGGAACTTGAGGAACATCTTTGAAAATAGATCCAGGGAGGCCCCAATCATTCGCCAACTTCCTATTGCTATAGGATACTTTGACATTCCTAAGATCCATAGCTTTGTCTCTCACAACACTTTTGATAACATCAATTATGGTGAAGGAATCCTTATAGTCACCCCTAAAAATCCGCGAATTCCGCTCCCTCCAAATCCAATAAACCGTTGCCCCTAAACAAAGCCTACCCAAAGTGGATTTTAGGCTCTTACCTTTCCATTTCCTTGCCAAATGGGGGATGTAATCATGCCAGGGTCTAACCACATAGCCAAGGTCAACAAGCATAGGATCTTACTCCAAATAGACTTAGAAAAAGGGCATGCAAAAAATAAGTGGTCAAGAGATTCCATAGATGAGTTACAAGGCCAACAATGAGCGTTAATAGTAGCCCCATACCTTATCAACCTTTCCTTTGTAGGTAATCTTTCTTTAATAGCCATCCATAAGATCATAGAGTATCTTAGGATAGACTTTGAGAACCACACCAAGTCACACCACTCAACTTTTGCTCTTCTTCCTCTAATAGCCTCCCAAACCGATTTGGTAGAGAAATCCCCCGAAGGTGAGGGTATCCAATAAATCTTGTCGTCAACATTGGAAGGTGTGAAATTCACAGAATTCCTCATATTAATAAGAGCCCAAGAATTGGCACTTGGCCACTTCCAATTGCATCCATCAATCACAGAACTCAACTTAGCATCCATCAATCACAGAACTCAACTTAGCATCCTTAGCAATCCCTGTATCATAAATAATCCTTTCCCCGTAGACGCAAACAAGGGGGCTGTTCAGGTGCCAGTTATCAAACCAAAGAGAGGTGGTGTTACCATTGCCAATGCAACATTTGATATTCTTTATAACCATTTCCCTATTTTTTAGAATCTGTCTCCATGACCATGTACAATTTTGAGCAATGCTGATGTCCCAAATGCTTCTATTTCTCAAAAGATGAATTCGGACCCAAGAGACACACAAAGTATGGTTTCTATGATTGCACAGGTTCCAAATATGTCTTAAAGAAGTGGCGAGGTTCCATTCCTTACATTTCATAAACCCAAGCCCGCCCTCATTTTTTGGTACACATACCTCCTCCCAAGCTATTCTAGCTTTGTGTCTATTCATATCAACTCCGGACCAAAGAAAAGCTCTCAACCTAGCATCAATTTCCTTTTGAATTTTGGGAGGAAGAATAAAGAGAGACGACCAATAAATCTGGATACTCCAAAGAATTGACTTAATCAAAATAATCCTCCCTGCATAGGATAAAAACCTACTTCTCCAAGAGGTAACCCGAGCCAAGATTTTATCCAAGAGAGGTTGGCAATCCCCAAAGGTTAACTTAAAGGTAATAAGGGGTGCACCTAAGTATTTTATGGGTAGAGTAGCCTCGGCAAAACCCATCAAACTTAAGAGTTCCATCTTCTCATTGTCATTCACACCAGAAAGGAAGATATTGCTCTTATCCGGATTAGCACTCAATCCCGACCAACTTTCAAAGGTAATTAAAGCATTCT